CCTATTGTTCCCATTGTTGGAACGTGTCACGAGACTGGGGTGTTCATTCCGTGACCTTGTTTTACATATCAGCACAATCAAGGAACATCAGTGCACCATGTTGGCTCCAAATGCACGCATTGTGTCAGTGAAAGCATCAACAAGCCCGTTATGTAAAAGGAAGAGGTCAGTGATGACATTTGAGAAGAAAGTTGAAATAATTAAGAAAGTGGAGAGCGGTGTCCCGAGAAGTGTCGTGTGCACTGAATATGGCATTAGCAAAAGTTCTGTTTTTGATCTTCTTCATTTGTTACTATTTCTCTAAAAGTGAAAGTTTTAAGGCAATACAAAATAGAAAGGTAGTAAGTAAAGCAAAGGTGGAGAGTGTTGATAACACAGTGTGGGGAGTGGTACAGAGGCGTGAGGTGATGAAGCCAGTGACAGGCTGGCTGCTCGTGGAAAAGGCGCGTGAATTTCACCAAGCAATGAAAATTACTCAAAAGTGTGTATACAGTGATGGATGGCTCAGAAGCTTTAAAACCCGTCATGGCATTAGGTCCATTAAAGTAAATGGTGAAAGACAATCTACTGAAATTGTTGGTGCTGATGAGTATGCAAGTAAATCTGCGGAGATGGTGCAGGAACAAAATTTATCTCCAGAGCAAATTTATAATGCTGATGAGACAGGTTTGTACTGGCGTATGCTACCCACAGACACGATGGCTAATAGTGGTGAGGACAATCCTTCAGGTGGTTATAAACAGGACTGAGAATTTCTTTGTGGTGCTGTGCAAATGCAGCTGGCATGCACAAATTAAAATTACTTGTGATTGGAAAGTAGCAAAAACCCCAGGGCTTTAAAGTCAGCTAGGTGCTTCCCTGTGATTTATAAGGACCAGCCAAGTGCGTGGATGTCTCGAGTAATATTTGGCGAGTGGTTTAATAAGAACTTTGTACCAGAGGTGAAGGAGCACCTGAAAAGTGTTGGCCTCCCACAAAACAGCAAAGTTGTGCTGCTGCTAGATAATAGTTCAACGCATCCACGAGGTGATGAGCTTGTAAATGGCAATATTATTGTAACGTTCTTACCACCCAATACAACTTCAGTGATCTAACCCATGGATCAAGGAATAATTAAGAACCTTAAACACCACTACAAGAGGATGTTTGCCAGACATCTTAATAATCAGCTAGGAACAATTAAGGACTTTTATAAAGTCTTCACAATAAAGTCAGCTATCTGGACTGATAGTGCATGGTATGAGGTACTGCAGACAACACTTAAGAAATGGCTGGGAAAAATTTTGGCCCACGTCAAGTCTGTTTCCCGAGGAAGATGATGAGGCGGATTTTGAAGGATTTGCGGTGAAGAAAGTTAGCAAGAGGAAAAAATTAAGAGAGGAACTCCTAGCATATGTCAAGGGGATTAAGTCCCTTGAGCTGAGAGCAGAACTGGTGACTGAAACATTAGAAGATGACAAATAAGTGGATAGATTTTGTTGATGAAGCCCTAACAATCGAAACATGACTGATGACGAAATTATAGAATTAATATGTGCGGCAAAAAAGCCAGAAGAGTGCAATGAAGAAGATGGAGCGGAAGAGGAAGAAGAAACATTAATGGAAAAATGTAATATGGAAAAAGTTCAGCAACATTTTGAAAGCATTCTGACATTTACGGACACGCGTTACAGCGAGTTTGAAACTAAGGACATGATGAGTCTGTACAATTTGTATATGAAGTTTTCAAAAACAAGATCATAGGGAATGAAACAAATGTCAATTAAAGAGTCTTTTGCAATGGCTTCCAAGAAAGCTCATATTGCATCACCTGCACCCGACTCATCGCATGTTGACCCAGTCAACCCAACAACTTCAGTCAACCAAACACCAACATCCACCACTGCCTCTTCCATGTAAATAACTATGCTTCATCAACATAAGCGGATCAGGACTTCACTTATTGGCGAGTATAAACAAAATACGGTCGCATTTATGCTATGAACCTGTCAATTTTTTCCCTAAAGTTTTGTCAAATTTTTTTATACTTTTTTTTTTTTAACACATTTCCAATTTATTTTTTCCCTCCATTTCTCGTTTATGAACTTACATGATAACCAACGGGTCTCGTCTCCAAGGGGTTCAGAAACCAAGTGGTGCACTGTAATTAGGTAATACCATCTTTGTGGCAACTCCAACCTGACAGCTCGGGCAGACCTCTCCGACGCTTGCTCTGTCAACACCTTTTTTGCCAGACTTCCCTGCCCTATAGCAGCCAAAATATGCCACCTACAATTTTTGGTATCATTTTTCCTGTGATCAGGGAACACAAATGAACACTTTTATAAGGCAAAAAAAATATTTGATTTTTTTCTTGCGCTTGGACGTGTTGCAGGCTATAATTGCAAGAGCCGCTCCAGGGGTTAAGCTGCCTTGACCAACCTTGTCTACATCTGGGGAAGGCTCTTGCTCCGGTTCAGGTCATAATTTGTAGTCGAGCTCAATTTATGGTTACATAGACTTGTTCCGGTTATATAGTATACCCATAGATACCAAGGGGGGGGAGGTAAACCCTCCATTCATATTCATAGATTAATCGTAATTTAAATTTCACTTAATCAGTCAACTCTCTAAGTTTATAACATATTTTAAATACAGTAGTATTTATATTGTAACTCGTTGGCAGGAATATTGTACTATGGATGAGAAGAATACGGCTGGTTGGTTGTTTGATAGGAGAAACGTTATTGTCACGTGTTCACATCACGTCCGGAAGTCGCCTCCCATGATGAGGATTTAATCATCAGAAAACCTAAGCTGTCCTATATACCACTAATCATAGGATAGAGCAAGTTAACTAAATATACCAATTAAATAATCTAATCTGATAATGAATCTCCATTAACCGTTAAACCGCACATGACATATATATACGACCGGAGTAACGTTTCCCACTGTGCTCATGGCATACATATATGACGTAGGGTACTGGGCACGATTCAAATAGCCCGTGGTTATACAGGGTTTACATCAGCTTCCTCAGAGCTCTTGTAAACAGACGACATTTAAAGAAAAAAAAAAAAATCGTGGACAATATTCTCCAGTGAGAGCACCACAGTGCTGTGTGAGCAACCAAGGCTAGTGCACGCAGCATGAGCTCACAGCACTGCTGTTCAGCTTCTGACCACAGCAATGCCTAAAAATGTCAAAATAAATATGCAACTGCTATTATTTAGCAATGACAGTATTACAGAAGACCCCTGACTGATAAAAATGACCAGGAATGTGATAATAGCAGGATTGTTGTGATAATTAGCACTGTGTAGGAGGAGTAATGCTGAGGGAGATAGCAAGGTAGTGTTGTCTGCATGACTTGTCACGCTATGTAGAGTGACCACTATGCTGTTTGAGCACCATACCAGCTTAATTGTACAGTTATGGTGAATAAAACATGTAGATACTTATATATAAAATGTGTATATAGTAGTGTAATAACACCACAAACAATAGTGTTGGAGGAGAAATGTTAGTGTGTCTGGTCTTGAACCAGTGAGTGAGGCAGCCGCCAGCTGACTGTGTGTAGCTACATCTCTTATTGCCTGAACTCAATACCAGCTTAGTTGTACAGTTATGGTGAACAAAACATGTACTTATATATAAAGTATCTACACGTTTTGTTCGTCATAACTGTATAACTAAGGTGGTATGGTGAATTCAGGCAATAAGAGGGGTCACCATACACACCCCATCAGTTAATGGCTGCTTACCTCACTGGTTCAAGACCATACACTAACATTTCTTCCCCCCAACAGTACTGTTTGTGGTGTTATTACACTATACACACAGATTATATATAAGTATCTATATGTTTTATTCACCATAACTGTACAGCCAAGGTGGTATGGTGTCCAAAGAGCACAGTGGCCACCCTCTACACAGCACGACAAGTCATGCAGATGATGCCACCTCCGTCACCCAAATGACTCCTCCCAAAATACTCCTTTTATTACACTAATACACACACACAATAAATAAGTATCCACATTTGTGTTCATCACAGAAAACCACTGTGCTGGTATGGAGAGTGCAGACAATAACAGGTGACCACACAGAGTCAGCAGACGACACTATCTCCCTCCCTCCCTCAGCATTACTCTTCCCACCATACTACATACAACGCCAATTATCACAGCAGTCCGACTATTATCAGAATTCTGGTCATTTTTATCACAGGTGTTTTCTGTAATACTATCATTGCTAAATAATAGCAGGTACCTGTATATTTTGACATTTTTAGGCAATGCTGTGGTCACAAGCTGAACAGCAGTGCTGTTAACTCATGCTGCGTGTGCCAGCCTTGGTTTCTCAGTCAGTATTGATGCTCTCACACCCGGGAATGTTGCCCACGATTTTTTTTTTAAATGGCGTCCGTTTACAAGAGCCCTGAGAAAGCCTATGTGAACTCCATATAGCCGCGGGATTTTTAAATCTTGCACGGAACACCTACACATCATATGATGTGGTGCGCAATTCCTCAGCAGTTACCACATCATATGATGTGTTGCGCAGTTGAAGGGTTAAGGGCTAAATGCAATTTGGACATTAAATAAGGTTAGATGGAATGAAAAATATCTGCTTGATTATTAGTGATATTTAATATGAAAAAAATATTCTCTGCTATTGGCTGGATTGTTGTGCAGTTTCATAATTAGCAATTATCAAAAGGCTGAACAAAGTCAGGAAGTTTCATAGAAAATCAAGTTTAGTAGTACTGCAGACAACATACTGTATTTGGAATAAGACAACGTTGAAAGAGGAAATAATGAATACAGAAGGTCCAAGTGAGAGTAATGAGCAAGTGCAATAACTGTGCTATGTATGAAGGCAAATTCTTCTGATAGCATCTTTATTCTTGAGTGTGCGCATACTGTTGTATACACTCGGCACCTGAACCCGCAATGTCTTGACTCTTGGATGTTTATTTTATGTAAAACAATGTTGGAATCAATTTAACTATCACAGATTTTGTCATATCTTTAATGGGGATGGTCACACACACGAGACCAATTTATTTTAAAACTGTTTTGGAGTAGAGAAATCCAAAAAGAATTCAATTGTACTCAATCTTAAAAACGGGTTTCTAAAATTACCCGATTAACCACTACAATCAAGTATTGTGAAGACCATTTACCCAGGTGTTGCTACATCTTCAGAAGCTACAGTAGGTGCTGTCTTGCAGATGACCAATTCTAGTTAATTTAACTTATATAAGGCAGTAGTAAAATTGGTAATCCCCATTAACACCTAATGAGACAGCATTGCAAAAGTAACACACACGTTAAATTTATGTATCCTAAGTCATTAAAACTAATGTATAAAAAATAGTAGGTAAATAACACTTACACAGCAGATCAGTAAGCCTTCAAATCACAACCTGGAATTTCTTTCCCCCAATTTCAAACTTGTTACTTGTTGTTTACTGATCCCAGGCATACTTTTCCAGCATTCTTATGAAATTGGACCTATATTAAGCCAATTGTTATCACACAATGGAAACCATCATTACACAATTTAAACATTTTTAACCTTGCTTCACTTTGTGAGGATACCACTGAAAGATGTGGGCTTACATTGGTTACATTGACATTGACCATTACACTCTATATTAGTGGCCATGTAATGGACAGATGTTGCAACATTGCTCTCTGTTGTACTTAAGGAACCTGCGTGATTACAGCCACTTTCACTTGTAATGGTGAGGGCCCTATCACTTGGTCTGGCAAACCCAGATGGTCCTGGCGAGACAACCCCGTCGCCGCCTGTGACGGTGTCTTCTACCTGCGCTGCTGTTGCCGACATCATGGCAGCTTCTCGTTCTTCACAAAGAAATATGCTCTCTTTCTTTTCCTTGGTGTTATACTCATCAATCCTAAAAATTAAAGATAATTAATTTTACATATGAATTTAGTACTGTGGAACTCTGTTATGTTTGTTTATAATTACCTAAGTGTAGTTACAGGATGAGAGCTATGCCCGTGGTGTCCCGTCTTCCCAGCACTTTTTGTCATAACTGTAATTGTGTAATTATAATTGTGTAATTACAATTATGTGCAATTGCATCTGATAAGTCAGGGCACTACATGAGAGGGCTTGTTATACAAGCTTCATTAGTGTACATTACTTTATTACTATTGAGTAATACTGGGAAATACTCATTAGTAATCCTTGGAGAAGGATGAACACTATGCATGTTTGGGAGGGAGGAAGGGGAGGAGGGCTGAGGACTTGGACCTTATGAAGTCATTACTGCATGTGTTGCTAAGTTATGGGTATTGGCTATTGGAACCAGAGTTACATTGTATTCTGTTGTTGATAGTGCTTGCTACACCATACTTGTGTGTGACCTAGGGGGTACCTTTGCCTGCTTTTGCATTTTGTCTTGCCTCTATTTTTTTCTCTCTCTAATCTTTAAACATGTCTTGATTTTGGTACACCTTCCAATATCTCATTGCATCTTAGTTCTCTATTTCATCCAGTATGCATCACACTGCCCCCCCCCCTCCCCCCATCCCTGAAAGTTCTGAATATGACTTTGATCAGGTGTGTGCTTCTCAGTTTGTTTCCTCACTAGTCATGCACATAGAGTCTGTTCCTCCTTGCAATCACTACTGGTTTTTTTCATATCTTTCACAATGGCTCTGGTAACTTCATTTCTGCCTCTATATCTTTACTTGTAGTGCACTGTAAAATCTACTTGGAACCGTGTTTTTCAACACACTGGTTCTGAAATTCTTCCTGGACAGATGTAATAGAACCCATAATCACCACATGAAATAAATCTCTTTGATATCCCCAGAGTCAATCTTAATCTATGTAAACACACTATGCAAATAAAGGGACCTAGTCTACAGAACTCGCTTCCTAATGCATTAAAAAGCTGTCAAACATTTGCCTTATTCAAAAATAAAACCAAAAAGTACCTATTTTCATCTTCATAGTTTCCTACCTAGTGCTTCAAACTCATACTGTATCTAGTGCTACCCCAATCCTCCAATATATGTGCCTAAGCCATATAACTTCACCATTGTAATCACTGCTATCATCTTATATCATAGTTGTTATATTGAACCCATATTTTACTGCATTAGGATACATGCCCATAGTGGTGCCATAAACACCATGGGTATAATCAAGTGGGAAAATGGCACTAATCTTGCTTCATAAATAGCTACATTTCAGGATACAGATGTACATGTTTACAGACCTTAAACCCATACAGTGGTGAAGGCATGCGACATACAAATATTTGATGGAATGCTTTAGCGCTCCCACTGCCCAAATGGCTGGAATTGATCATGGTAATTATTTATAAATTATTGCTAATTAGTTTATCCATACTTATCCATAGTTAAAAGACAGCTGGGGGCTGTTTTAAAGCACAACCCAAGATTTAAAAATCCCACATTTACACAGGGCTCATATATGCTTCTCAGGCATTCAGTAAACAGATGCCATCTTTGAATAAAATTGTGGGCACCCCTCCTGGGTACAAGTGCCTGTGCTGAGAGGGCAACACCGAGCAACGCATGCAGCAGCAGCTGCTGCTCACAACACTGCCTTGCCCACACCATCATTTTAATGATGATGAAATAAGTAACTGTGATTATTTACTGATGACAGCGTCATGGAAGATCCTGACTGACAAAAATTATACACAAAGATCAAATATCAGTTTACTTAATGTTGGTTATGATGTTCACGTCACAAGGCATATATCTACAACACACAGCTGCAGTTTTCTGCATCTATGTATCATGAAACAAGACCTCGTGTTCTTTTAAAAAACTAACTTGTGGAAAATTACCATATTCAGGATTTAGTGACCAGGATCCTGATGATATATAGTAGTGTGACTAGAGTTAGCAATGTGCATAGTAATATTGGGAGGCTTTTTACAGTAAAGTGGTGTTGTCAGATGACTACTGGGGGTTGCTGTGCTGTTTGGACCCATGAGAACAGCTTAGTGGTTAATTATGGGGCATAAAATTGTAAATAGTAATATTTAACATATGTATGCCACATATTAATGACAAATATACCTGTGTGTATCTATGTTCTACATGTTCTGTGATATGTGTACAACATTATTGATAGTCCAATGCATCACTGCACTTGAAAAAAAATCACAAACATTCAAAATGGTAAGAAAATATATTCAATGCAAGCAGTTACACCTTTGCACAAATTATGAGCATTTCATAATTGTGCATGAAATGTAATTATATATAATGTGTATATACAGTGTAATAACAGCAAAAAAAAAACAGCTTTGAATGTAATGAAGTGCCAGTTTCTGGGCTCACCCAGAAGCACCCTCCGGGGCTTCTGGGTGAGCCCCGGAGGCTCCCTGAAGCTATCTTGCTGATCAAGTGTCATACTATTTGAGTGTCATCAGTGGCAGAGTCATTTGTAAGCCTACCGGGGACCACGAGCCAGACCCTGGCCCCCTCGGAGACGGGGAGGGAGCAATGGCCATGAATATTTTACATTTAAAGTATGTCATCTTATCACTGATCAGGGAAGGACCCAGAAAGGTTGGCGAATCAAAACAGACCTTGTCTGGGTGAAAATTGCAAGCTACATCCTCACAAGCACAAAAGAACTTCCCCAGAAAGCAAACAAACAAGGAAAACTTCGTTGTTTGAATGATGAAAACCGCCAACCGGAGGAAGGGAGGGTGTCAGGGAGCTTCCGGGGCTCACCCAGATATGCACTGGCGTTTCATTACATTCAACACTGGTTTTTTGTGAGGAACCCCATCGGCTCTCTGAAGCTAACTACCCAAAGAGAAAGAAAACAGGGAAGGATCCAGGAGGTGGCAGCTCTGCAGAGCAAAACCCAACTTAGGGGCTTCTGTCTGCCCCTAAACACCACCAAGCAGCAGAGGGCCCGGGATGGTCATGAGAGAACTGGAAGCCAGGACTGTGACCAACCTCCAAAACCTGAAAACCTTCTAAAGACGGCCAAATGAGCGGCATACATCCGAACATCATGGGCACAAGGGTAGGCTGGACGTAAAGCGACAGCAGACAACCTGAGACCCCACAAACCCTGGAACTGAGAACCACGGAGACAATCAATCCAGAGTGTGTCTACTGACACCGAACCGGTGGCCCGCAGGAAGCAGCATAAAGCTGCCACCGAACACAGCACATGATACACCACTGGCCTAACCAACCAAGCATCCACAACCAACAGATCCCTCCAGAAGCCAGCCAGCTCATTCTGCGCTGGAAAACGAGGAGTAGGTAGCCAACGAACAAAACGACCACCAGAGGCCAAAGTCAACAAAACAACGCCCCCCCCCCCCCCCCAAAAAAAAACAGGAACTGAAGGGACTAGCACAAACTAAGGAAGAAAAAACCTGGTCCAAAGGCCAAGAAGGTTCAGGTGGCACATGAGCAGGCTGGAAGAAAAAAAATGCACGAGAAAACTTGCAAAAGTGACAACCAACCCGAATGCAAGCTGCAGAGGTTCCGCCAATGCTGCACGATACAAAGTAACAGTATATGCATGAGATACTAAGCCAGGAAAAGCCAAAATAACCTGGTCTGACACCAACAAAGTTCAGGCTCCTGCACAGCTGCATGAACAACCACAGTGTGACTGGGGTCCCCCCACAAAAACGGCTGACGGCAGGACCACAACCAGAGCAAGGCCACAGGAGGGCGAGAAAGGGATGCAGTCCGAGAATCCCACACAAGGTCCAGCCAAGTCCGAACCGGGACGAGACCAACTGGGACTTCCGCCAGCTCACCACAAACCTGAACCCAGTGAGCTGAAATAGAGCCAGATCCCTGGCTAGCAGACAATCAAACCAGCTGCGAGCCCACACTAACCAGTCGTCGAGGTAGACCAAGACCCGATGACCTAGCAGACAAAGACCGGCCACCACGACCAGTCAAATTCACAGTAACGCGAGGTGCCAGATCAACCCGAAGGAAGACAATGGCAGCATGCCACCCCACGTCAAAACCCAATCAAGCCCAAAATCCAGATGGATAGGGACGTACCAATACACCTCCCTGAGGTTCAGGGAAAGCATCCCAGTGCCCAGATTGAGAATGAGCCAAACTAAGACAACATGGGTCATCTTAAAGGAGGGGCGATCCCACTCCGAGACAACTCGTCAGATGGATGGGAACAACCATGGAATGCCCTCAAGATGGGAAGAGGAGCCGAACCGAAAAGAAGCTGGATCCAGCACCGAGGTGTAAGCTTGGTCCCGCAGGAGGTAAGCACCGAAAGCCTCCCGAACCTCCGCAGTCAAAATCCAAGAGGAGGAAACCTCTAAATGGACGAATCGAAGGAACCCAAAAGCCCCTGGAATGACCAACGCTCACAAACCAAGTCCCTAAAACCCGGGTGCGGCAGCTCCAAGTGCCTCCAACCGGGCAACCAGCCTGGCCCATTGCAATAAGGAGAACTGATCATGCAACGCAGACGCCGCCTGATCCTAAATACCACTAAAGAAAGGATGAGTAATAGGAGCACAAGCAGGGAACATGTCCTGCCAGACCCTCATGTCGCAGGTGTCCCCGATCCCCCAAGCAGCAGGTGTCCCCGATCCCCCAAGCAGCAGGTGTCCCCGATCCCCCAAGCAGCAGGTGTCCCCAATCCCCCAAGCAGCAGGTGTCCCCAATCCCCCAAGCAGCAGGTGTCCCCAATCCCCCAAGCAGCAGGTGTCCCCAATCCCCCAAGCAGCAGGTGTTCCTGATCCTCAAAGTAGCAGGTGTCCCCGATCCTCAAAGTAGCAGGTGTCCCCGACCCCCAGGAAGCATGACTGAGGCAGGATCGACAACACTCTCCCTGAGGCAGGGGCAACAATAACCCACAAAGTCGCTCAAGGCGAGAGTGAGCCCGGAAGAA